ACGAGGCAGACACTGTGGCCTTGAGGACCCACAACCAACTCCATCTTTTAATCCCCTCTAAAAGGTTAGTTTTGCATCCCCAACTAGTTTGTGGATATGTTCCTTGAGGACTTAGCTTTAACACTTTACTGTATAACATAAATGTTTAAGTAAATGCAAAAAAAAAGAAAGATCAAATTCAAAGTACAGAGGGCTCACCTTGTTGAGCAAAATATTTTCTAAAATAATACTCAGAGGTTCATATATGAACAGCATCTAAAAAAGCAAAAAGTGTCTGCTCTAATAATCTCCTGGCATTTCTCTAGGAGTGGTAGACTAATCCCAAATTTATACCTGGCCAGAAGTGTGAACAAGCCTGTACAATATATGACTTCCTGGTAAGATGACTTCATTTTTTATGCAAACTGCATTAAGTTTTTTGTTGTTGTTATTAACTATCAAGGATTATATGTTCTCATGTTACATATAAAATGAAATGAAGGGATACCTATATTGGTAGTGACAAAAGTACTATGTGTAAAGGGACACCCTGATTATGAAATTCTTGCTACCTCCTTTCTCTATATCTTAAAAATTCAGGTTCTCAGGGTAGTAGTCAGCAGGTACTTTTGAGGCCAGAAAGAACCTTTGCAGAAAGAGTGTTTCTGCCTTCACCAACAGAAGCCAGATTGCTGGCAAAGAAAAATAAGAGAGTTTTGTGGGATTGTTTAAAGTAACAGATGTGGAATAAAAGCCTCCAAGTGTTACAGTGTATCTGTAGCAAGTAATAAAATATTTTCAGATTTCAGAAGTATACACAGGGTAATGATGCCCGGCTACTAGGGAATGATGCAGTGTGTTAGTTGGTACTGACTAGGGAAAAGGCAAAAGGAAGAAACTAGGTGGCATGCACTGACTGTACTAAATATCACTAAAAAACACACAAAGGTGAGATGTTCAAGAGAAAACTGGAATCAGAAGGCAATTATTCATGATTGACATGGCCAACCCATAGCAAAATAACTTTCCACTTGTATATGAGTAGCCATGGCTAGTTGCATAAAAATAAGAAGATATTATAGCAATCTCCAACACATAGGTCTGAAAAATAAATTCTATAAACTCAGTAGTTCAAATTCAACAGAAGTATTAAAAAATGCATTGCTTTTTCATGAATACAAGTCCCACAACAATGAAATAACAATCATCACAATGACAAGGTTGCTGCTTATAAACAGCACAGTAGCTGTGTGCAAAATCTATGAAAATTGGTATTTGTTAGAGTGTAATATTTCTTATAACAAGTTTTCAAAAACCATTCAGAACAATTCTACTTCAACCTACCCTGTCCCGAGTAACACACAGAGGTACAAAGGTGATTGAGTCATTCATTAAGTGACCGTAATAGCATCAAGCCTAAAATTATCCTTAAAGGCATCTAATGCCACCAGGGAACCTGAAGTTCATCTACTACTCTGCACACAAACCTGGTGTTCGTGCATGCAAAAGAGAGTTTCAAGGAAAAAAAAACTGTGCATGCCTTGAATGTTCACATAAGGGTGCCTAAATAGTACCAAAAAAGCAGTGCAGCCATTTGTCAGACATCTGTTAGAAATTTAGAGAACAATACATAATAGCTAGAAAAAACCTAATAAATAACATAGAATCATTAAATTACCATTTACTTAACTAATAAGAGGCATGACATATTACTCTCTGAGCTCAATTTTACTGTGGAACTGCTTTTTTGAAAAATCTGATGGTAATTTGTATGTCAAAATATGCAAAAAAACAAGAAAGAAAAGACTACTTTGGAAAATATGTACAGAAATACTAAAATTAAATACAGTTAAAACCATGATTCAGTCACTAAAAAAGAATGCATCATGTATCTATTAATGCATATCAGAAAATTCAATATAAGTTTGTCTTGAACTGAAAGCAAGCTGTAAAAGTACAATTTCAAAATAATTCTGTAATGATAAAAGTATATCAATAACAAGAAGAGGATACAAGAAGTCAAGGATAAAAAGAATTTTATCCATTTCTTCCTCTGCACTGCCTCTTTTGTCAATAAAGAACCTCACTTAGGTCTTCATAGATTAACATTAGAACTACTGAAAATTTTCCCCTAAATAGTTTTCCTTGCTCCATCATATTAATCTTCTCATGTCCTATTCAAAAATTTTTATTCATTCTCCAGAAGACAAACTCTATACTCCTTGGCCCCCATATATTTGATACCAGTCTATCTTTCCAAACATATCACTCCCAGTCCTCATTTAGAGAGAGCAAGCCCCCATTCTCACTATGTATTCCTTTATTTCTGCATAATCTTAATCTTCCAGAAATCTCCTCTCCCTTCCCTTATTCCTATATGCCTGAATCCAATCCTCAAAGCCAAGCACCCACACCTTCCTTAGCCAGGCAGAGTTCATGTTACTGACAATATCCACAAAGTCCTTTGTCTATGTCATCTTTTATACACTTCTTATTCTACCACATATACAGTTAAGTTACCACCTTAACTGTACTTGTAAAACTTAAGGACATTTTTATACCAATTCTTTATAGTCTATCACCTTTTGTTCAACCCATAACCCCCAGCTCCACAATAATCACAGTAGCATCTCTCCAAAGCAGATACTCAGCTAGCATCTGCTGAGTCAAAAACACATAAGAATAACAATGTGTAAGCTACAGTTTAGTTATGCATTAATGACATAAGGATAATTTGAATCAAATAGTAATTTTGAGAAGCTAATATTTTTCTTAAAAATTTCTGAAGATTTAGGACACATGATGGATGGATTTCTAAGTTGCTTTCTTTCAGCAGAAACAGTGACGAGTTTGCCTTGGATCTCATGCTTTCCCAGTATGCCCCAGGAAGACATTCTCACACCATGACAATTCATTGCAAATGCCTGTTCATTTGTCTGCCTATACCAGTAGCTCTTCAAAAGCTAGGATAGTGTGTTCTGTTTCTGATCTATATATGTCAGCAGCCCACACAATAGGAATTCAGTCAGTGGTTGATCTAGTTCCATGATTAGCTAAAGACAATTTTTAAAGTAACTATTACTAGGCATACAAATGTTAAGTAAATTTAATTTATGACTGTGCTATTTCAAATGAGGCATATGACCAGAATTCTAAGGACTATATTTATACAAGTAGTAACCAAAAAAGAAAAAAAGAAGCACATCAAGAGAAATTCTATCAGGTCATATTGGGTGTATATGAGTGTAACTTTTATACATTACAGAGCATTATAGAAAAACAGAATAGTTTTTAGAGGAATTTTCCTACTTTTTACTCTTCTATTTTTTTAAAACTATAGAACATAGTTCTATAGTTAATTTGAAAAATAAACTCCTCTCCACCCAAATACACACAAGGAGTAGTCTAATTATAATTTAAACATTTTTTAAATGAGCATCTACTGTTAGAGTAAAGAAACAGAAATTTTAGATGTTGAAAGCTGAGCATGAAAGAAAACAAGCTAGACAATGAGGATTTAGAGGTTAGAAAGGGAGGGGTGTGTGTGTGTGTGTGTGTGTGTGTGTGTGTGTGTGAGCTTAATTTCTGTGCAACAAAAGACAAAAACAAACTCCTTCTTAACTTAGTCTTTCCTAGCTTAAGTTCTTGTTTTAGCTGTGTGCCCAATACTCCTATATGTTTAAGAAGAAGACTACTCAAAGGCACAATCCATCCTTCCAAGTAGTAAAAAGAGGAAGTAAAACTCATTTTCCAAGGTGCAAGATAGTTATAAGAACAGCTTCCTGAGCTGGGAGCATGGTTCAAGTGGTAGAACACCTGCCTAGCAAGCATGAGGCCCAGGGTTCAAACCCCAGTACCAAAAAAAAAAAGAGAAAAAAAACCCAAAAAACAAACTTCTCAGTAGACATCCTATAGAAAGTAGCTCCCATTACAGTGATTTTTGACTACACTTCATACCTCATAAGTTTTATGGTTTGGATATGAAATGTCCCCCACACCAAGACTCATGTTTTGAACAGTTTGGTCCCCAGCTAGGGGTATTACTTTGTGGAGGGCTGGAGGAGGAACACAGCTGGAAGAAAGGCACTGGGGGCAAACCCTTGGAGATGTCTTGTGGATATGAACAAATAATATAGCTCTGGCAAGTAAGGGAATAATCATTTCTATATCCACCAGATTGCCATTTTTACTTTAAAAATTAAAACAAATGATAAAGACCACCTGGATATGCAAATGACTCAAAACCACTTTGGTTTTCTACTAACTAGTAATCATCTCCTGGTTTACCTACAGTGAACTGCAGGAGTTTGGCATGGGCCCTCTTACAGAAAAAGATGGAGGGGAGGTGATCACAGGGCACTGGGAGTGGGGAATCCCCAGTGCTATCCTACTTCCTTCAGGCCAGGAGAGCTGCACTGATCAGAAAAAATTTATTTTTCCTTCCAAGAGCCTGGACTTTATTTGCATTTTGCAGTGTTTCTAGAATTCCTCCTTTGGGTCTCATCATCTCACCACCTTGCAAAGATGAAAAGAGAGTTGCTTTTCCTACCATTACTACCATCTGGAAAGTCCTTTCTGTTTCATTCCCCCTAATAAATAGTCAATCTGTGCTCATATCTCATCGTGAAATGGATCCTTCATTCTTTGCTTCTACCTCTTAGCTTTTTTCTTTTTCAGTAACTGTCCTAAGAATCAATTTTTTCTGTATCAAGTTCCTGTTTTCTATATTTTATTATGCTGACTATGTCTTCCTGTTAATCACTGTGGGAGGAATAATTAGGATCAATGCCCTTAAAATAACAAAGTCATGGCTTTGACAACTAGACTTTCATGACCTTTATATAAATTCAGTAAACCACAAAATCATTTCATTTTTTACTAGCACTATTATTTTAAAGAAAGAAGAGGAGGAAAAAGATAATTTTAGAAGACCTTCCAGATTTATAGAAGTATTGAATCTATTAAAACCAGATGATTGATTCCAAACAGTTTTAATACTTCAACTTTAAGATCAAACCCGGTCACAAGGAAAGAAAGATGCAAAATGTCAAAGTACTTACCTGAGGGTATGGGGAGGTCCTGGATTTTGACTTTGAGCTGGAGAGACGTGACTTCGCCCCCTTCCTGTTGTCAGTCATGGTGGGGGTGGAGCTGCTGGCATAGGAGAAGGTTGGTTTGGAGGCTGAGATCTGGTCCAGAGAGAGCTGCAGCCCTTTGTATTCTGTGTCTCTGCAGCGTGGGAGGACAAAGCCCTTAATCAACCACCACAGGAAAGGGATCCATGAATGCTCTCATCAGGAGTGACAGTGATCCATATGTGAAAAAGTAAGCAAGCAAACTTTAGTCATGCTGGGGGAGTGGCTCAAGTGGTAGAGCACCTTCTTAGCACACCCAAGGTCTTGAGTTCAAACCCTGGGGCTACCAAAAAAAGCCATATAATTACTTCCACAAACACATGGATCTTTCTAGAAAAGCTTAACATATAATTAATGTGTGTGAATGTGGCTGCCACAGATATTACAACCAAATTATATGATACACTCATGAAAAAGTCTTGATTTTAAAATGCTTTTTCATTTTTGTTTATTAGGTAAGTAGAAAATAAACCTTAGAAAATAAACCTTTAATCAAACTTCTCTGAGTTTTCCTCTGACAGTTTTCTATATGGAGTGAACTCAGCAAACAGGCTGCTGATGTTACTTGACTATTGACAAGAATGCCTCCTCTCAGCTGTTCCAAGAACAATCATTTTGGTAAATATTCCAAACATTCTCATAGCTCATTAGCATAACCAGACTTATAAGTAGCTAAAAATTCCTTTCAAGAGGCTAATTCAGGTCCCTCAGGATACATTTTACCAACAGCTTTTGCCACTTGCTATCCCTCCCTCTATTCAATAAACAGTTTTTGAGCTCCTAACATCAGTCTTTGTGCGTGTGGAGATGTGAGAATACATCAGATATCTATAATCCCTGCCCTTGCACAGATTATAAGCTACAATTATAATTTATTCTAGGAAAAAATTGTAGACATACATAGTAAACATATCTAATAACTGCAACTGTGATTTGAATGGGCTAAAGAGTTTATGTTAGGAAGTTCATGACAAATGTGTTACTTGAGCCACTTAGGGGCTGAAGATGACAGCCACGGTCCTGCCCACATGTACAGTCTCCACAACCTTTAGGCAGCCATGGCTCTTACCTGAAAACTCAAGTTTTCTTAAAAGGGTATTAACCCTTCCCACTGGCCCCCAAATAAAATGTGTCAGTCTTCTTTATGAAGGCTCATGGGAGAATTTTCTTTCAGGTTCCAGAACTAGCTAGGCTACTCCTGAGTAATTGAACTCTTTTTATCTCATGAACACTGTGAACCATGTAACTCAACATGCTTCCCTGTGCACTAGAAGTCAAAAGGCCCTGAGCCCCAAATCTGATTTGTAATCACCTCCAGCAAGTCCACAAGTCTCCATGGCAGGTATTTTGTCTAGCAAGTTCACTGGCTTCCTTTATTTTCTAATCTTATTTTTCCTTTCCTCTAATTCTTTAATGGGTTCACCTTTTCAAAAATTTTACATGCTTTTTAATAGTTCTTATATTAAAATGGACATATTAAACCTAATAAATTAATGAAATTTTCTACATATATATGTGTGTGTGTGTATATATATATATGTATATGTGCAAGTGGCATATCCCATAAATCAGCAAATACTACTTATCTTTTGTTCTTTTTCCCCTTTCAGTTCTTCTACAGCAATATTAGGCCAAAGAACAAGTATAATTCAGTACTTTAAAACTGCTATAAAAGTAGATTTTAAATGTTCTTACCACAGGAAAAAATTACAAGTATGTGAATGCATATGCTAAATATCTTGATTAGGCATTGCACTATATACATACATATGTACATGTACATATACACACATACATACACACACAGGATATCTATATCCTGTTGTATACCAAAAACATGTGCAGTTTTTACTTATTAAAAAAAAAAAACCTTACAATCCAGGCAAGAAGTACCTCAAGTGAGTAGAAACCAAAGCCAGTCAAAACAAATCTAATAATATCACTGCCACAGAGTATAGTGCAATGAGGTCTGTCAGCAAATTGCAATATCTTTGTATCAAATACAGTTGATGTCCTTATTTGCAGGTTCCATATCAGTGGATTCAAACAATCTTGGACTGAATATACTTTTTTTAATTGAATGGGCTGGATGTGTGGCTCAATTGGTAGAATCCCTGCCTAGCAAGCACAAAACCCAGTACTGTCAAAAAATTGCATTGGAGGGCTGGGTGGCTGTTTATGCCTATAATCTGAACCATTTGGAAGATAGAGATCAGAAGGATCATGGTTCAATGCCACACAGTCTAAAAGTTAGCAAGACCCCATCTAAACAAACCTGGTGGTACACATCTATAATCCCAGATGCACATAAGACCTAGGTAGGAGGATGGTGGTTTGAGAACAGGTTCTGCCTAAAGTGAGGGGAGTGAAGGGAGAGGGAGGGGTGGGGGACAGGGGGGAGAAATGGTCCAAACAATGTATACACATGTGAATAAATGAATAAAAATTTTTTTAAGTGTGAGATCCTATCTGAAAAATAACTAAAGCAAAAAAGCAGTAGAGCATTTGCTCATCAAGTGCCAGGCCCTGAGTTCAAATCCCAGTACTACCAAAAAAGAATTAAAATTGCATCTGTACTGGACATGCACAGACTTTTTTCCTTGTCATCATTTCCTAAACAATAAAGTATCACAACTGTCCACATAGCATTTATACTGATTTAGGAGCATACAGAAGATGTGTGTAGGTTATATGCAGATACCACACCACTTTTACAGGGCCCTTTGTGGACTTTGGTATCCAGGGGGATCCTGGAACCAAGCCCTGCAGATCTGGAGGTTGACTATGTTCCCTTAGTGGATTTGAAGTTCCCAGAGGACAAAAGCCAAGAGATATTTTGGCTCAGTATACTGTATCACACAGATAGAAGCTCAGTTGATAAAAGTAAAAACAAATGGGATTATATCAAACTAAGAAACTACTGCAAAAAAAGCAAAGAAGCTATTAAGAATAAAAGGACAATCTGCATAATGGGAGAATATATTTGCCAACTATTCATCTGAAAAGGGATTAATATCTAGAATACAGAGAAACTCAAAAAAACTTAATGAAAACCCCAAATAAAACAATTTAAATACAGGCAAATGATCTGAATCAGCATTTCTCAAAGAAATATAAATGGCCAAAAAGCATATGAAAAATGCTCAAAAGAAAAAAATTGCTCAATGTCACTAGCCATCAGGAAAATGCAACTCAAAGTCGCAATTTGATCTCATCTCAGTCAGAACAGCTATTATTTGAATGGCCAAAAACCAAATGCTAGTGAGGATGTAGAAAAAAGGGAAACCTTATCTTCTTCTGGTAGAAAGACCAATTAGTAAAGTCACCAGGGAGAACAGTATGGAAGTTCTCCAAAAGCTAAAAGTAGATCTATTTTATGATATAGCTGTCCCATTTCTGAGTATAGATACAAAAGAAATGAAATAAGTGCATCAAAGAGATACCTCTGTCCCTGTATTTACTGCATCACTATACACAATAACCAAGACATGGACTCAGCAGAGGTGTTCATACACAGATGAGTGAAAAAGAAAATGGGGTATATGTAATATTATCTAATATATCACATATGATGGAATATTATTCAGCCATAAAAAATAATAAAATCCTGCCACTTGAGACAGCATGGATGGAAACGGAGGACATTAGGTCAAATGAAATAATTCAGATTTGGAAAGGCAAATACCACATGTTCTCTCTCATGCGGAAGCCAAAAACTAAATTGATCTCAGAGAAGAGAGTAGAGAAGTGATTATTCAGAGCCAGGAAAGGGAGGCATAGGGGGGATGAGTAGATTGAGTAATAGATACCAAAATACGGTTAGTAGGAAGAATGAGCTCTACCATCTACAGCATGGTGGGGTGACCATAGTTTGTAACAACCTCTTACACACTGTATGAATAATGGGAGGAGAGGAGCTGAAAGGCTCCAAACATAAAAAAATGAAAAGGAGATGGAAATTCTAATTGCTATGACTTGGTCATTACATACTGTGTACATGTATTGAAATATGACACTGCACCCCCTAAATGTTTGCAACTACTACCTATTAATGAAAGAGAAAGAAAAATGTTAAAGTCTCTCTAAAATGTTTGCATAGCTTTCAATGACAAAAATACTTCAAATTAAATAAGTCCAAATAACATGTTAAAGTCAACATACGATTGAAAATTGTACATGTTCACATGAAAACTCTATCAAATATAATAAAGGTTACACAAAAAAATTCTCTTAATTACCTAACACAAATAAATAGCATTTTGGTGCTCATTGAAAAATATAAAAATAATCCATAAAATTTTAACAGAAGACGATGAAGTCAGGAAGATCAAGGTTAAGGGCAGCCTCTGCAAATTACAGCTCAACAGCTCATCTAGCCTTCAGTTTCTACTTTGTAACTCATGGGGATCTGGTGAGGTTCAGATGAAACAGTATATGAAAAATTCGTATCACTGAACTTAGAACATGGTTAATTCTCAATCAACAGTATCCCTTCTTAACTTCCAAATTCTGTGCCACTGTGGCACCTGGTTTCCCAAGAACAATAATTTTGTTTTATTAACAATATATTTCATTGTGAACAGCTCCTTATAGGCAGGTTTTCTTTGTTTTTCACCCTAAACTCATTTTAATTCGAAGAAAATGTGATATATATATATGTATATTCATATATGATAAATAGATTTACATATGTGTATGATATGTATGCGTCTGTGTTCATTCACACACAAGAGTAATATAGCTCATAAAAGCAGAGTGGACTGGTGGTAAATTCTTTTAGCTAAGTTAACAAATGGAGTTCAGAGAGCAACATAGTCATTCTGAGAGGAATTCACTCTTCCTGTTTCTCTCTTTAAAACTCCAGTACCTCAAAAGCACAATAAAAAATACTCAGAGACGCTTCAATTATGGTTGATGTGTTACCAAGAGCAGCTCTGAATGTCAGAGTCACTAAGAACAAAGCATTTGTTTTACTTCTAGAAATCTATTAAATCGAGCATCTCATTTGTATAAAGCCTAGGTGTTAAGGGTGATCACACTGCAACTTCCTTTTCCTCCTCCAAACTCAGAAAGCAGAGTCTGCCCACACTTCTC